ACCAAGCTCGTTCCAACTGTTGGACGCCTGTTGACACCTAAAATTAATTTGGCCTGAATTAAATGCCGCATTAATTAGTCTCGGCGTTTAATTCGATACCGCAGGACAAAAAACGGTGTCGGTGTCGCGGAGAGTCAAAGCGATACCGCGAAACAGCAAAACGGTACCGCAAGGAAGCTCTACGGTACCGCGGCATGGGAAACGACACCGGTTAATGAAAATAAAAGAGGGCCGCGCGCGTGGTGTTGGAGAAGGAGTTTTATTTTATAATTATTGTTTTTCCTTGTCGGAAAGGGAGAAGCGGTACCGCATGGAGACAAGCGGCATCGCGGATGAGTAAAACGGTACCGCGAGTAAGCCCAACGGTACCGCGGATTAGCAAGCAACAGTGTTTAAATAAAAAACAATGTCGCAAAAGGAAAAGCAAACGGAGCTGTTTGGGAAAGGAAACGACATCGCGGGATCATGAAAACAACTCACGTAAAGTTCACGCGAAGCAGTTTGAGGAACGAAGCGGTTGAGACACGTGGGAGTTCACAATGGAGCGGTTGAGGAAGCATTTCTACAGGGCGTGAAGACTACGCAAGTGATTTCAGATAAAATCACTGAAGCAAGGAGAGAGAAGGGGACAACCAAAAATCAACACAGAACAACTCTGTCAAAACTTTACCTTTTCTCTGTAACTCCTTCGCGGAGCTCTCCTTCCAGGAAGGATCTCCATAGTTGGTAGAAGTAGTCGTAGTCGCGGAGCTCTCCACGGGAATCTCCATAGGAGTAGCGGTAGCGTAGATTCCTCAAAACTCAAACACCCTCGTTCGAACGTAGTTTGGAGAGGTGCGAACCGTAGTAACGGTCGTTCTTGATTAGAAGTCAGAGTTGCACCGATCAAATCAACGAAGCCGACATTCGGCGGCGGATATTTGACGGTCATCTCGATTTCAGCTATCAGCGGTGCATTCGATCAACGGCACCGCAAGAGTTTCCATCGCGAAACATCGAATCAACATCGCCGGAAACGAATTCGGCACCGGCGGTGGCATTTGGTTTTCCCGAGGAAACAATTTGGCACGCCCGATGGGATACGTGTATCTGACATGACTCTGCGACGAGGAAAAGAAGATTGTGGTCTTCGACAAGGATCCATGGCGGAGGCTCAAATGATCAACATCGAGATTGACGATGTTGTTGGCGGCTCAAGCAACAACGCTGGAGCGGAGGTGCAATCAGTGGCACGAGTCTCCGATAAGGGTGAGATGCTGCGCATACTCCGCCAAGTAGTGGCTGAACTCAGCAGAGATAGACAACAGGTAAATCTAATTTTAACTTCTCTTGATAAAAAAATGGATAATCTTGAAATAAACATAGATCAGTGGTTTGATAAGTTGGACGACTCTGTTTCTGATTTTAATATGTCAATACGTGGAGCCACGTATGATTTCGATGTGTTTAAATCTCGAACCATGTCTGTTGTGTGTGAGGATGCGAGGGTTGGTCGAATAGCTAATGTCAACCAAACTCCATCATCGATGGCTACAACATTGTTGCCAGAAGTGAGTGAATCCAATGTGTTCTTTCCAGTAAACAACGTTGTTTTAAAGGACACACCAATTGGAAGTGGCTTGCAAAAGCCACTATAAAGAAGTCAGTATCGAATTACTTCTATTAAGATTGAAAACAAGAACCAGGGTCGAGAACCTGGTTACAATCACGTCGAGCATAGCAAGCTCACGTATGATGGGTTGTCTAAGCAACATCGCAATGGTGTTCAATCTAAGCCGCTAGGGGGCATGAGATCCCACCGCATGGTCGGTTGATGGAAAAACAACATTGCAAGTGGCAAATAAGTTTGCCAAATCTGTCCTATTCTAGGAAAATTCAAACAAGGATAGCAGCAAAAACTTTGCAGTGTGGGGGTGGTAGCCACGTGAAAAAATCCAATGCCACCAAAGTTGGCATGAATCAACAAAATCCTCTATGTAAATTGTCCCCGAAACCTCCACTGAGTAGAGAGGGGGGCAAGTTCGATCAAACCCGACATGGGGTTGCCACACCAGTGCTGGCTGGGAACAAATCCATGAGTGGTGGTCTGGGGGGCAAGGCCATTGGCAAACAAACTCCAAACTCACGTGGAATTTTAAAAGGGGCAACGTTGTTGTGTGATAGGTGCGAAAGTCATGTCCGTGATAAGCAAAATACCAACGTACCTGTTGATGAAAAGTCTCGGCGCTCATACTACCAACAACATGGTGAGAGTGCGAAGCTGACAAAACTAGACCAGTCTAGGCAAGCGATGTCGCATGGTCGAATTGGCAAGACAAAGGTGCCAAAAAACGAGAATGTCCTGTCTAGAGCCAAGAATGCTTATGGTTTTCCATTCCGCGAAGCTAAGATTAGGCCAAATCAGGATCGTAGAGTTTCGAACAAAGATGTTCGAGCTAGACGAACTGGGGATTTGCAAGCCAACATTGATTCCAAAACATCAAAACCAACTCGTGTGAAGCCAGCTGTGATGAATCATGGACTTTACGGATGGCTTGTTTGGTTTGATCGATGGAGTTGGCAGTGGGTGTGGACTTTTGGCATGATGGTTTATGCCAAAGTCTAGTTTGTTTCTTATTTAACTGTTAATAAATAACGTGGCTAAATTAGGCCACCTAATATGTTATAGAGAAAATATTATATAATATGATCAAGCGGCATTGCTAAGAAGAAGCAACAATATCGTTGGCAATAGTTCAATATAACAAGCGGTGTTGTTCTCTTTTCTCAACATCGTTGGAAGATAGGGAAAGATACACAATGCTGTAAAAAAAAAAAAAAAATTAGCTCTGCCGCTGTTTCCAAACAGCATTGGCGGAAAAGAGGAAAATAAAAATAAAAAAAAAGTTTTTGCAACACTGCCGCAGTTTCCTAACAGCACTGGCGGAATATTAAAAAAAAAAAATATATTTCCAGCCCTGCGGCTGTTCCCAACAGCCCTGAAGAAAAAAAAAATTTATACGCATGCAGCGCTGGTGGGCAGCCAAACAGCCCTGAAAAAAAAAAAATTTAGATGCAGCGCTGGCCGCTGTTTCCTCAGCCGTGAAGAGAATTTTTTTTTTTTTTCAGTTCTGCCGCAAACAGCTCTGGCGGAAATTTAAAAAAAAAAAATAGGAGGGCGGCCAAAACAGCGTTGCGAGAGAAAAAAGAAGGGGAATCAGCGCTGCGGCCAAACAGCTCTGGCGGGGCGGAAAAAAAAAATTATTAATAATAATAAATAAATAAAAGGGGCCGCCTAACAGCCCTGATATAAAAAAAATTATATTGTTATTAATTAATGCTGCCAGCGCTGTTAGAAGAAAAAAAAAAGAGAAGTTTGGACGCGTGGCCGCGTTGTTGCAATTAGCCGCAATACTGGTCGCCAAAATCATTTCGCCATGCATGAGGAATATATAATTGGTAATTAAAGACTTCATTGCTAACTTTGGCCTACGTGTTTATTTCGTTTAAACATTTTGAGCCAAGTAATTTAGGTGTTATACTATTTGGTCAACAATTTGGTTCATAATTCTTATAAACCAAATTGTGGGGGGCATTTGTTGACACCTAAAATTAATTTGCCCTGAATTAAATGCCGCATTAATTAGTCTCGGCGTTTAATTCGATACCGCAAGACAAAAAACGGTGTCGGTGTCGCGGAGAGTCAAAGCGATACCGCGAAACAGCAAAACGGCACCGCAAGGAAGCTCTACGGTACCGCGGCATGGGAAACGACACCGGTTAATGAAAATAAAAGAGGGCCGCGCGCGTGGTGTTGGAGAAGGAGTTTTATTTTATAATTATTGTTTTTCCTTGTCGGAAAGGGAGAAGCGGTACCGCATGGAGACAAGCGGCATCGCGGATGAGTAAAACGGTACCGCGAGTAAGCCCAACGGTACTGCGGATTAGCAAGCAACAGTGTTTAAATAAAAAACAATGTCGCAAAAGGAAAAGCAAACGGAGCTGTTTGGGAAAGGAAACGACATCGCGGGATCATGAAAACAACTCACGTAAAGTTCACGCGAAGCAGTTTGAGGAACGAAGCGGTTGAGACACGTGGGAGTTCACGATGGAGCGGTTGAGGAAGCAGTTCTACGGGGCGTGAAGACTACGCAAGTGATTTCAGATAAAATCACTGAAGCAAGGAGAGAGAAGGGACAACCAAAAATCAACACAGAACAACTCTGTCAAAACTTTACCTTTTCTCTGTAACTCCTTCGCGGAGCTCTCCTTCCAGGAAGGATCTCCATAGTTGGTAGAAGTAGTCGTAGTCGCGGAGCTCTCCACGGGAATCTCCATAGGAGTAGCGGTAGCGTAGATTCCTCAAAACTCAAACACCCTCGTTCGAACGTAGTTTGGAGAGGTGCGAACCGTAGTAACGGTCGTTCTTGATTAGAAGTCAGAGTTGCACCGATCAAATCAACGAAGCCGACATTCGGCGGCGGATATTTGACGGTCGTCTCGATTTCAGCTATCAGCGGTGCATTCGATCAACGGCACCGCAAGAGTTTCCATCGCGAAACATCGAATCAACATCGCCGGAAACAAATTCGGCACCGACGGTGGCATTTGGTTTTCCCGAGGAAACAACGCCGGTTCCTCGTACCTTCACCATACATGGAATGTGGCCCATGTTGATGTGACTTGAATCGGACTATCAACCGCTATGACTGGTAATCGGGGGTCTCGCTGTTATTTGGGTTCGGGTTCTGGGTCTGGTCTGTAACCGTTTCCTTTGCCAGATTGAATTAGGTTTAGACCCACAAGGAGAAGTACTATAAATACTTCTCATACTCCTCTGTAATCTGTAATCTCCTCGATATAGTGAAACTGGCTCTCTCTCGCTCGTGGACTAGCTAGCACACATCGTGTTAGTGAACCACGTAAATCGTGTGTCTGTGTTTTTCGATTCTCGCTTTCGTATTCTTGCTTTGTCTATTCCGGCAATTTCCCGATCCGTAGCAGCGCGTATATAACAGCCCATGACCAACAGCGGCGGCAGCCCTCAAAACTGCCCCGATCGAGTCGGGGACATCCGAAGAAATGTACGTTATGTAGTACGATTTACGAGAAGTATTATATTATACTGTTCGTACTATCCATACTCTAACAATAAGATTCATAATTAAACTTCTCTACGTATAACCGTCCATGTCATATCATATTAATCGACAAATGTTTTTTTTTTTTTTTTTGCTGGAAAAATTTTAATAGGGAAGATTGGACCAAGCTACGCTGGGGGCAATGGACAGGCAATGGCCGAATCTGAAGCGAGGGGGAAGGGACCCAAACAGCCAGTTCTGGACGCACGAGTGGAACACGCACGGCACGTGCTCCAGATCCACGCTGGCGTTGCCGGCGTACTTCCGGCGGGCGGTGGACCGGGCGTCGAGCGTTGACCTGCTGCGGCTGCTCAGGAGCAACCGGATCCAGCCCGACAACCGGCTGTACCGGCGCGCCGACATAGGCGCCGCGCTGCACCGTTACAATCCCCGCGTGAAGTGCAACGACGTGCGGAGTGGCGGCCGCACGTATAAACAGATCCAGGAGATTCGTCTGTGCGTGCAGAGGGACGGCTCCCGCGTTGTCAGCTGCGGCGGAGGAGGGACCCGGTTTACAAGCTGCGGCGGGGGAACCATCAGGTTCTCCAGGCCCTAAAGGGTTATAAATATATATGCATGCATGGGATGCATGGTTTAAGTTAGCCTTTGCACGTGTGTGTACGTACGTGTGTTTTTTTTTTTCCAGTAAGACACTTTTTTCCATTACTTGCTTTGCAAGAAACCAAGATTACAATAGCGGGGCAACAATCTCAAGGATCTGAATCCAATATGGGGGCAGACAGTTCCTAGCACAGGATCTAGCCACCCACTCAGCCTTAGAGTTGAGCTTTCTACTGAAAAAATCGATACGAATCCGAGGGGAAACACAACACAACTGTCTAATGGTCTCGATCAAGGCCGCAGCACGCCAAGGCCAAGATACTGGGGCTCCTTGTACTGCACGCACCAGAGTGAGGCAGTCTGAGCGGATGAGACAGGAAGAGTTGAGCTGGACCGCACATCGGGTTCCCTCCAGGAGGGCCTTGGCTTCCGCTTCAAGTGGGGAAAAACAGTGTAAGGGCTCAGCCTTACCATTGCAAACTTGACCATGGCTATTGGAAATGACAACGCCATACGCCGCCTCCTGGGAATCGTGTAGGAACGTAACCAGTCCAGGATGGAGGTGGTTTGATGTGGGAGAACGAGAGATGGCCACCCCTGACTCCACCCTTCTGCTGCATGGGGGCATTCGAATAGGCAGTGGTGGATGGTTTCAACTTGAGTCACATACAGGGGACACTGATTAGTTGATGCGCATCTTCTCACATGGAGATTCTCTTTGGTTGTTAGTGCTCCTCTGCTACATTTCCAGATAAAAAACTTCATCTTCGGAGGTAGAGAAATGCTCCACAGCCATTTCCATCTTTCCTTGGTGCTAGGTGAATGTTCCTGGTAGTCCCCCTGGGTTCTGCGCCTCTGATAGACCGTTAATTACACATGTTTTTACCCCTGTTCTTACACCGTTTGAGATGTGGTTTCTCGTGTTTTAGGCCGATTTCACGCTAGGTTGTGCTTGTTTGTGATATTTCAGGTCCTGGTACGTGAATGGAGGCTTGGGAGCGAGTTTGGGGTCGATTGGACGAAGATCGGACGCGTGGCGAGGTGCTAAGGAAGCCACACGGGCATTCCTGGACACCACACGGCCGTGCAACTCACCCTTGTGGCCGTGTGGTTTGTGCCGAGAGCAAACACGGGCAGGATGGAAATTCCACACGGCCGTGTGACCCTGGCCGTGTGGGAAGCCTGAAATTTCAACTAATCGATACGCCGCGTTTTGAGTCACACGGGCAACTAGGTGAGCCACACGGCCGTGTGGCCTGCCCGTGTGTGTCGGGAAATCTTGGTTTTTACCCAATTTCGAGCCACAAGTGAGAGAATCGGATTTTCAGAGCAAAAACAGAGCCCTAGAGAGAGAAAGTGTGAAGAACACATCCTAGAAGCTATCTTGGAGTTGGGTTTCATCAAATCAAGCTTGGAGATCGTCATAGGAGTGGAAATCATCATCCCAGAGCGAGATTTTCCTCATCTTTATGAGTATGACTACTCTGATTACTGTTTTCTTCTCTCTCTATGGAGTAGAACCCTTCTCTCACTTGGGTATGAAGAAGCCTAGTTCCTTGTGTTAGGGATTTGATTGTAATGACTTGGGATGATTATACTGTTTGGTTTTAATCGAATGATGCATGTTTTATTAAATTGATTGAAGTCTGATCAGCTTTTCTTGATTTCTGCTGCAACCTGAGATAGATAGAATCTGATTAGGTTGTTAGAGCTTCTTCATTCGATAGTAGGAGATTGGTTATACGAGAGTTAGCCAGTTTACTGCTTTGTACTGGAATCCAATTCCAGTAGTGGAGTTGGTGCTCATTGCCTCAGCTTTCTATCCCGGGGAAGACTAGTCGTCTGCCGGGTAGTTAGACTGAGAGGGCTTGGTCAGCTTAAGAGATTCCAAGCTACTGTCGGATCTTCCGCAGTCTAATCAACAGTGAATCAACCCAGGGTAATTACAATTGAACCTAACTAAGGAGCTAGGGGGACTCATTTCCCGAGTGACTCTTCCCTGCTTGAGAAAATCGAACCATTTCCTGCTTTCTTACTGCTTTTAGTTTTAACAACAATCAATCGACTTAGTTGGCTAGATAATAGATAATCACGGAGTAGGCAGTAGATCTAGACCCCGGGTTGATAATAGAACTTGCATGTTACTGCATTCCCGGACTGCGATTACACTTGGTCGCAGTTTGGTGTTGTGTTTTGGCGCGGACCTTCGACAAGAGTGCTTCCGAGCTAAAGAAACTCCACTACACCCCCCTCATCACCCGCCTGGCAGCCTACTTCGAGATATCCCTGCAGGGGTGCACAGAGCAGGGAGACACCAGTGCCTTTGGCGAGTTCACCATCAGTAAAATGCACCTGCTTCGGGAAGAGCGAGGTGTTAAGTGGATTGAGGGGTTTCCAAAAACCCAGATCCCAGAGGAGGTCCAGCCGGAGGTTCCCGAGGGGGCGGCTGATGCGGAGATGGAGCCCGAGGAGGTGGATGCTGCTGCCCCCCGCCCCACCACCTTCGAGTACGGGGGTGGCAGCTCCGCTTTCCCCGGGCAGGACTACTTCACCTACCAGTTCGAGCAGCTGCGTCTCCAGAACCAGCAGATCCTTGACCAGCAGCTCCAGTTCCAGCAGCAGTACGCGGCTCACCAGGCCGAGTACCAGCACAGGAGATGAGCGTGTGGACATGATGGCGACCCAGCAGGGGGTGACTCTGGCTCATATCGAGTGAGAGAAGGCTCGATCTAGGCTCATGCAGGAGGTCCAGCAGCACCTGCTCCAGCTGCTGCCGGGCGAGCAGCCAGTCTGGAGGACTCCCTGGGAGGACTCTCCACTTCCACCTCTCCCAGCTGATGGTGATGATGGTGATGACGCCTTCATGGACGACATCGACCTGGATAACCTTGGCGACGAGTAGGCTGTACTCGTTGCCCATCTCACTGTGTTTTTCGTTTTAGACTTCTGTGTGTTTGCTCCATGTGTGAGGAGCTTGAACTTAGTGTCGTTTGTTTTTGTTTTTCTTTTGTGGATTGTTTATGTTGTGGCCGTCTGGGCTAACACTTATCCCTAACGCACAGTGTGCTAGTGTGTTCTTGGTGTTCGATTCGTGCAGAACTGTCCATCTTCCCGTTTGTTTCTCGCTGACTAGTCCACTTCCAGTCCCCCAGCAGTATTTCAATCCGGTAACATCGTTCCCCTTATCTCTCCCTCTAATCCATTGAGGGCAATGTCGTGCTTAAGTGTGGGGGGGGGGGTGCTTTGTATCGGTTGGAATCCATATTTGTGTGCTTGGAGCCTAGTTCGCTGTCCGAATCTTACGATTTGAGGGCTCCAAGTACTGCTATTTGATCATATTGGCACTGTGTTTTGATTGATGAATTGAATGGTTTTCGGATTGATGCATGACAACTTGATTGTGACTAGGACAACCTATGATGAGGACTAAGACGTGCAGTAGAATGATGTAGGGGTTCAGTTTTTCAACTGTTTGCTTACCAACTGTGACTTGGATTGATCACTTGTTCTTGACAGTCGTTTATGTATCTAGTTCAAGGTATCAGAATGTGAGATAGAGCATATAGGTAGCCATGTGAGATTTGAGCCTACTCGTTTCTTTCTTGTGCGATAGATCCCTCTTCCATGATGTGTAGCATTCACGTTGTCACTAGCTAAGATGATGGGGGCATAGGAGTAGCCCACGAACAAATTGACTATCCTGATGTGTCATATCCCCTAGTCAGCCCCTTTGAGCCGTGTGTTATCCCTTCTTTTGGTCTGAAATGAAAAAAAATCACCCTTTTGCATCTTTTAGAAGGTTCCACATAGTGGTTTTTACATGTTCTCTGCTGTTTCTGCTCAAATTAATGTGAGTGTCGGAGGTAGTGCTTAAAAGTTGGGCATTTGTTTGAAATATGTGCAGAAGTGGTGGCTCTCTTAAGAAATGAAAAGAAAATGAAAGAAAAACAAAGAAAAATTGAAAGCAAAAGAGAGCCACTACCAAAAATCTGAATAATGCCCATTAAGTAGTGTTTCTTAGCAGCCTGGCTTGGAAATGCTGACATTTATACCTCCTTCGCTCTTGTGCTCTTGAGACATTGAGTAATGCAGAATGGCAGAAAGGAAATACTGGTTTGTTTGATTGTGATTGTGTGGGTTTGGAAATGTGGAACCTTGTGCTATGAATACTTCCACCACCTAAAAGGCATTTTCCCCATGTCCAAGACCCTAGCCAGTCATTTGAAGCTGTGTCTAAGACCTCCGGATTAGTTAGTGGTGACACTCCAGATGTGAACTCTAGCATTTAGAGGCTGCCATCATGGTGAAGAGATGTTAGGGATTGAGAGAAATCGCATGTGCATTTTTAGCATCAAATTGTCCTGACCCCACTGGTCGAGAGTGAGTGATTCATTTTCATATTCTTTATACTCTTGTACCCCGGTGAGGACCTAGATTGCTCGGTCTCTATTCTGATGTCTTGAGTTGGATGCATGAGGTGACTGTTTTGAGTAAGTGGTTGAGTCAAGTCTAGGTTGGTTGGTGAACAGAAGGGAGACTCTTCCTTTACTCGATTTTGCTGCGCTCGAATGTCCTTTGTGGTGGTTGTCTAGGTTGCTATTGAGGTTGTTCATGTGCTGATGTTTGAAAACCAGTACGATTCACGTGTTCTGTGCCTTTACGACTTGTTCCCAATGTTGGTATGATTGAAAAATGTAAGCTTACCTTGTGTCTGACTTGGTTTGCTTGGGGACAAGCAAACGGTTAAGTGTGGGGGAGTTTGATAGACCGTTAATTACACATGTTTTTACCCCTGTTCTTACACTGTTTGAGATGTGGTTTCACGTGTTTTAGGCCGATTTCACGCTAGGTTGTGCTTGTTTGTGATATTTCAGGTCCTAGTACGTGAATGGAGGCTTGGGAGCGAGTTTGGGGTCGATTGGACGAAGATCGAACGCGTGGCGAGGTGCTAAGGAAGCCACACGGGCATTCCTGGACACCACACGGCCGTGCAAC